CCTTCTCACACCATCTATAATAATAACACACTGTATGGACCTTCTCACCATCTAAATAATAACACACTGTATGGACCTTCTCACACCATCTATAATAATAATAACACACTGTATGGACCTTCTCACACCATCTATAATAGTAACACACTGTATGGACCTTCTCACACCATCTATAATAATAATAACACACTGTATGGACCTTCTCACACCATCTATAATAATAACATTGTATGGACCTTCTCACACCATCTATAATAATAACACACTGTATGGACCTTCTCACACCATCTATAATAATAATAACACACTGTATGGACCTTCTCACACCATCTATAATAGTAACACACTGTATGGACCTTCTCACACCATCTATAATAATAATAACACACTGTATGGACCTTCTCACACCATCTATAATAATAACATTGTATGGACCTTCTCACACCATCTATAATAATAACACACTGTATGGACCTTCTCACACCATCTGTAATAATAATAACACACTGTATTGACCTTCTCACACCATCTATAATAATAACAACACACTGTATGGACCTTCTCACACCATCTATAATAATAATAACAGACTGTATGGACCTTCTCACACCATCTATAATAATAATAACACACTGTATGGACCTTCTCACAACATCTTTAATAATAACACTGCATGGACCTTCTCACACCATCTATAATAATAACACTGCATGGACCTTCTCACACCATTTATAATAATAACAACACACTGTATGGACCTTCTCTCACCATCTATAATAATAACACACTGTATAGACCTTCTCTCACCATCTAAAATAATAACACACTGTATGGACCTTCTCACACCATCTATAATAATAACACACTGTATGGACCTTCTCACACCATCTATAATAATAACAAACTGTATGGACCCTCTCACACACCTTACACCATCTGTAATAATAACACACTGCATGGACCACCTTACACCATCTGTAATAATAACACACTGTATGGACCTTCTCTCACCATCTGTAATAATAACACTGTATGGACCTTCTCACACCATCTGTGATGATAACACACTGTATGGACCTTCTCTCACCATCTGTAATAATAGTAACACACTGTATGGACCTTCTCACACCATCTGTAATAACACACTGTATGAACCTTCTCACACCATCTGTAATAATAACACACTGTATGGACCTTCTCACACCATCTGTAATAATAACAACACACTGTATGGACCTTCTCACACCATCTGTAATAATAACACACTGTATGAATCTTCTCACACCATCTGTAATAATAACACACTGTATGGACCTTCTCACACCATCTGTAATAATAACAACACACTGTATGGATCTTTTCACACCATCTGTAATAATAACACACTGTATGGACCTTCTCTCACTATCTGTAATAATAACACTGTATGGACCTTCTCTCACCATCTGTAATAACAACACACTGTATGGACCTTCTCACACCATCTGTGATGATAACACACTGTATGGACCTTGTCTCACCATCTGTAATAATAATAACTCACTGTATGGACGTTCTCACACCATTTGTAATAATAATAACACACTGTATGGACCTTCTCACACCATCTATAATAGTAACACACTGTATGGACCTTCTCACACCATCTATAATAATAATACTGTATGGACCTTCTCACACCATCTATAATAATAATAACACTGTATGGACCTTCTCTCACCATCTGTAATAATAACACTGTATGGACCTTCTCACACCATCTGTGATGATAACACACTGTATGGACCTTCTCTCACCATCTGTAATAATAGTAACACACTGTATGGACCTTCTCACACCATCTGTAATAACACACTGTATGAACCTTCTCACACCATCTGTAATAATAACACACTGTATGGACCTTCTCACACCATCTGTAATAATAACAACACACTGTATGGACCTTCTCACACCATCTGTAATAATAACACACTGTATGAATCTTCTCACACCATCTGTAATAATAACACACTGTATGGACCTTCTCACACCATCTGTAATAATAACAACAACACACTGTATGGACCTTCTCACACCATCTGTGATGATAACACACTGTATGGACCTTGTCTCACCATCTGTAATAATAGTAACACACTGTATGGACCTTCTCACACCATCTGTGATGATAACACACTGTATGGACCTTGTCTCACCATCTGTAATAATAATAACACACTGTATGGACGTTCTCACACCATTTGTAATAATAATAACACACTGTATGGACCTTCTCACACCATCTATAATAGTAACACACTGTATGGACCTTCTCACACCATCTATAATAATAATACTGTATGGACCTTCTCACACCATCTATAATAATAATAACACTGTATGGACCTTCTCTCACCATCTGTAATAATAACACTGTATGGACCTTCTCACACCATCTGTGATGATAACACACTGTATGGACCTTCTCTCACCATCTGTAATAATAGTAACACACTGTATGGACCTTCTCACACCATCTGTAATAACACACTGTATGAACCTTCTCACACCATCTGTAATAATAACACACTGTATGGACCTTCTCACACCATCTGTAATAATAACAACACACTGTATGGACCTTCTCACACCATCTGTAATAATAACACACTGTATGAATCTTCTCACACCATCTGTAATAATAACACACTGTATGGACCTTCTCACACCATCTGTAATAATAACAACAACACACTGTATGGATCTTTTCACACCATCTGTAATAATAACACACTGTATGGACCTTCTCTCACTATCTGTAATAATAACACTGTATGGACCTTCTCTCACCATCTGTAATAACAACACACTGTATGGACCTTCTCACACCATCTGTGATGATAACACACTGTATGGACCTTGTCTCACCATCTGTAATAATAACAACACACTGTATGGACCTTCTCACACCATCTGTAATAATAACACACTGTATGAATCTTCTCACACCATCTGTAATAATAACACACTGTATGGACCTTCTCTCTGATCCCTAAAATAATAACACTTTCTGTATGGACCTTCTCACACCATCTATAATAATAACACACACACTGTGGACCTTCTCACACCATCTATAATAATAACAAACTGTATGGACCTCTCACATACACCATCTGTAATAATAACACACTGCATGGACCACCTTACACCATCTGTAATAATAGCTTACACTGTATGGACTTCTCTCACCATCATATGCTTACTGTATGGACCTTCTCACTGCATCTGTGGTGATAACACACTGTATGGACCTTCTCTCATCTGTAATAATAGTAACACACTGTATGGACCTTCTCACACCATCTGTAAGCACACTGTATGAACCTTCTCATACCATCTGTAATAATAACAAACTGTATGGACCTTCTCACACCATCTGTAATAATAACAAGCTTACACTGTATGGACCCAGCTACTCCACCATCTGTAATAATAACACACTGTATGAATCTTCTCACACCATCTGTAATAATAACACACTGTATGGACCTTCTCACACCATCTGTAATAATAACAACACACTGTATGGATCTTTTCACACCATCTGTAATAATAACACACTGTATGGACCTTCTCTCACCATCTGTAATAATAAAACTGTATGGACCTTCTCTCACCATCTGTAATAAC